TTTTTAAGAAAAAATTGTCAAAATGTCCTTCCGCGCGCGCTGTCCGAATCCCACAAAACCAATGGTTTTTCAACATTTATGTTACATGAGCTCGCGCGAGCTACTTTTTCTTGTTCTAACATAATCAAATTTCAATCATCCCTTGCAAAAAATAAGGTAAAGTGGACATTCGCGCGCGCAAGACGAAATCCTTCCAGAACCTTAGGTTTCGTAACGATTTCAACATAAAAACATCAAAAACCCAATGGTTTTTTCAAAAAAAAATGTCCAAATTTCATCCCGCGCGCGCTGTCCGACTCCCACAAAACCAATGGTTTTTCAACATTTCTGTTACATGAGCTCGCGCGAGCTACTTTTTCTTGTTCTAACATAATCAAATTTCAATACTCCCTTGCAAAAAAAAGTAAAGTGGACATTCGCGCGCGCAAGACCAACAAAAAAACACGACGATCTCAGGAACTTGCCCCAAAAATGTGACCAACTCCGCTCTCTCTGTCTCTCTCTCTGTCTGCTCTCTGTCTCGCTCTCTGTCTGTCTGTGTCATGTATTGTATGTCACAATTGCAGGATGCTGGGCACACGCGCGCCCCGAATAAGTGACCAAGTTCTGTGGGTGTGTACCCCACGCGCCAAGTGGTAGTTGCCACGGTCGTCGTCCGCAACTGCCACGAAAAGTGAAGTGTCCCAACGTCATAGGCGGGAAGCTGGGTTTTTTTTGGGGGGGTTATTTTGGTGTCGCGAAGAAGTCGTTGGAGATTTGGTAGAGCTGAAACTGCCCCCCACCACGAAGTGGGGGTATTGTCTCGCCGCGCACCGCGATTTCGCATGAAAACCCTGGCACTGGTGAGAACACTGAGCGTTCGGGTAAAATGATTGTTGTTGTTGTTGTTGTTGTTGTTGTTATCGTTGTTGCGTTTTCATTTCTGACGAATACTTATTGTTGATCCCCCCACTGGTGCATACTGTTTTTTCAATCAAAGCGTGTCCCTCGACGCTCGCACCCTGTTATTTGACAGGGAAATCTTCCTGCTCAAACTGGGCCCCTGGCCCCCGGGTTACAACAACAACGGCTGCCGCCTGAGACTTCCTTACAATTTAGGCAGGACCCCCGCTCCCGCCCGAGACGTCCTCGCATTTTATTCAGGAATCGCGCTCTCGTTTTTTTTTTTTTTTTTTTTTTTTTTTTTTTTTTTTTTTTTTTTTTTTTTTTTTTTTTTTTTTTTTTTTTTTTTTTTTTTTTTTTTTTTTTTTTTTTTTTTTTTTTTTTTTTTTTTTTTTTTTTTTTTTTTTTTTTTTTTTTTATATATATATATATATATATATATATTATTACTATTCTTATTAATTCCCTACCTAGGCTCTGCCTAGAAGGGTTCTTACTTTGTTTGCTAAAGGGGGCGGGCAATGGAACCCACCCCGGGCGGTTCCCCCGGTTGCGCCCCCCTGGTTCCCCCGGTTGCGCCCCCTGGGTTCCCCTAGCTTAGCTTAGCTTAACTTACCCTGAGCTTAGCTTCGCTTAGCTTTAGCTTAGCTTAGCTTAGCTTAGCTTAGCTTAGCTTAGCTTAGCTTAGCTTAGCTTAGCTTAGCTTAGCTTAGCGTAGCTTAGCTTAGCTTAGCTTAGCTTTGCCTAGCCTAGCCTAGCTTAGCTTAGCTTAGCTCAGCTCAGCTTAGCTTAGCTTAGCTTTGCCTAGCCCAGCTTAGCTTAGCTTAACTTACCCTGAGCTTAGCTTCGCTTAGCTTTAGCTTAGCTTAGCTTAGCTTAGCTTAGCTTAGCTTAGCTTAGCTTAGCTTAGCTTAGCTTAGCTTAGCTTAGCTTAGCTTAGCTTAGCTTAGCTTAGCTTAGCTTAGCTTAGCTTAGCTAAGCTTAGCTTAGCTTAGCTTAGCTTTGCCTAGCCTAGCCTAGCTTAGCTTAGCTTAGCTCAGCTCAGCTTAGCTTAGCTTAGCTTTGCCTAGCCCAGCTTAGCTTAGCTTAACTTTCCCTGAGCTTAGCTTCGCTTAGCTTTAGCTTAGCTTAGCTTAGCTTAGCTTAGCTTAGCTTAGCTTAGCTTAGCTTAGCTTAGCTTAGCTTAGCTTAGCTTAGCTTAGCTTAGCTTAGCTTAGCTTAGCTTAGCTTTGCCTAGCCTAGCCTAGCCTAGCTTAGCTTAGCTTAGCTCAGCTAAGCTTAGCTTAGCTTAGCTTTGCCTAGCCCAGCTTAGCTTAGCTTAACTTTGCCTAGCCCAGCTTAGCTTAGCTTAACTTACCCTGATCTTAGCTTCGCTTAGCTTTAGCTTAGCTTAGCTTAGCTTAGCTTAGCTTAGCTTAGCTTAGCTTAGCTTAGCTTAGCTTAGCTTAGCTTAGCTTAGCTTAGCTTAGCTTAGCTTAGCTTAGCTTTGCCTAGCCTAGCCTAGCCTAGCCTAGCTTAGCTTAGCTTAGCTCAGCTCAGCTTAGCTTAACTTAGCTTTGCCTAGCCCAGCTTAGCTTAGCTTAGCTTAGCTTCGCTTCGCTTCGCTTCGCTTAGCTTAGCTTAGCTTCGCTTCGCTTCGCTTAGCTTAGCTTAGCTTAGCTTAGCTTAGCTTAGCTTAGCTTACCCCATCTTAGCTTAGCTTAGCTTAGCTTAGCTGTTGCTTTCCTGAATGCTCCAACTCCTAGGTAGGGTCGCACTGGGATAATTTTTATTATTAAAAACAATTTATTCAGGAATCGCTTTCCCGGAGCTCTGGGCTCTGGAGTCGCGCTCTCGCTGGAGACTTGCTTGCGTTGGAATATCCGGCAATTTGCCCAAGCGCCGCGCTCCCGACATCCAGTTGTGCCCCCATGTGCATGCCCTTCGTGGCCCCGCTGTCGCCATTAGTGTCCCCCTCATTGTCCTACGTGGCCCAGTTGCTACCTTCAGTGGCCCCATAGTTGCCTTCTGTGGCCCCGCACTATCTGCACTTCGTGGCCCCCGCTCGTTCGCACTCTTCGTGGCCCGATACGCACTCCCTTCGTGTCCCCGCCGTCGCCCTTCGTGGCCTACTTCGTGCCCTTCGTGGCCCTGCTGTCGTTCACTCTCGCCGTCGTCGTCGTCGTCGTCGTCGTCGCCGCCGTCGTCGACGTCGTCGCCGCCGTCGTCGTCCTCGTCGTGGTCGGTCTCCTGTTCGTCCCTCTGGGGGTCGGGTCGACGGTCCGCGGCCGCCCCGCCGATCAGCGCTGCCGCTGGCCAGGCCGGCGGTCCGCGGCCGCCCCGCCGCTTGCCGGGGCCCATCCTGCAGAGAAGAAAGGTATACCCTCCAAAAAGGATTCGATCGAAAACGAAGAGGGCAGGTATCGAGGGTTTGTTGAATTACGCTTATGACACTCGAGCAGATAAGACGACAGTCCTTAAAATGATTGTTGTTTTGTCGTTTCGTCGTTGTTTGCTCTTGTTTGCTGTTGAACATTATTTCTTCTTAAGAATAATTATTGTTGGGACCCCTGGTGCGCGACCCCCCCTCCGCGCCTAGGCCGCAGCCACATTTTCATCATTTTCGTGAGGAAGTCTCAGGCAAAACGGGTTGGTCCGGATCCGGTTGTGTTGTTACGATCGGTTTTCCCTTGCAAAAAATAAGCTAAAGTGGACATTTCTTTTTCTAACATATCCAAACTTCAAGATCCCTTGCAAAAAATAAGGTAAAGTGCACATTCGTGCGCGCAAGACGAAATCCTTCAAAACTTAGGTTCGTAGTTCGATTTTAACATAAAAACATCAGAAAAAAAAAAAAAAAAAAAAAAAAAACCCCAATGGTTTTTTTAAGAAAAAATTGTCAAAATGTCCTTCCGCGCGCGCTGTCCGAATCCCACAAAACCAATGGTTTTTCAACATTTATGTTACATGAGCTCGCGCGAGCTACTTTTTCTTGTTCTACATAATCAAATTTCAATAATCCCTTGCAAAAAATAAGGTAAAGTGGACATTCGCGCGCGCAAGACGAAATCCTTCCAGAACCTTAGGTTTCGTAACGATTTCAACATAAAAACATCAAAAACCCAATGGTTTTTCAAAAAAAAATGTCCACATTTCATCCCGCGCGCGCTGTCCGACTCCCACAAAACCAATGGTTTTTCAACATTTATGTTACATGAGCTCGCGCGAGCTACTTTTTCTTGTTCTAACATAATCAAATTTCAATACTCCCTTGCAAAAAAAAGTAAAGTGGACATTCGCGCGCGCAAGACCAACAAAAAACACGACTATCTCAGGAACTTGCCCCAAAAATGTGACCAACTCCGCTCTCTCTGTCTCTCTCTCTGTCTGCTCTCTGTCTCTCTCTCTGTCTGTCTGTGTCATGTATTGTATGTCACAATTGCAGGATGCTGGGCTCACGCGCGCCCCGAATAAGTGACCAAGTTCTGTGGGTGTGTACCCCACGCCAGTGTAGTAGCCACGGTCGTCCGCACGCCACGAAGTGAAGTGTCCCAACGTCATAGGGCGGGAAGCTGGGTTTGGGTGGTCGCGAAGAGTCGTTTGGATATTGAGTAGAGCTTGAACTGCCCCCCCACGAAGTGGGGGTATTGTCTCGCGTCGCATGAAAACCCTGGCACTGGTGAGAACACTGAGCGTTCGGGTAAAATGATTGTTGTTGTTGTCGTTGTTGTCGTTGTTGTTGTTGTTGTTGTTGTTGTTGTTGTTGTTGTTGTTGTTGTTGTTGTTGTTGTCGTTGTCGTTGTCGTTGTCGTTGTTGTTGTTGTTGTTGTTGCTGTTGCTGTTGTTGTTGTTGTTGTTGTTGTTGTTGTTGTTGTTGTTGTTGTTTCTTCTTCTTCTTCTTCTTATTCCTCTTCTCCCCTTGCAGGAGGTCAAGGGCATGGCCACCGAGCTCGACCGCTGGAAGTCCGAGGCCGCTGGCCTCTCCGAGAAGCCCGGGCCCAATTTGTTTTGCCGGAACAGTTTTTATTTGGGGGGGGCTTCTTCCCCAAGCCGTGCATGCACCGAAGGGCTCTTACTGATTCCCCGCATCCCAAGTGGGGTTTTTGATGTTTCCGGTGCGCGCACCTGCGCTCATGTCGTACACGGCTGCTTATCATCGTTCGAATCAGAAACACTATCATTTCATCAGTTTGTCTTTTTGATTGTATTATAACGATTTCCTATCGTTATTATCGCTTCATTAATTCCACCAGCGTATATCGAAGACGCCTACTGCGAATCACCGCCGCCCCCCTGCCTTTTTGGAAGCGCCTACGTGGCCGAACGTTGAGGCCAGACCTGCCAAGCTATCGGACCATGTGCTCCCCGAGTGGTTCTGGACAGCCTTGGGGGCACACGTGGGCTTAGGTCATCTTGGCCGCCTGGAGGCCATTTTGACCCTTTCGGCCCTTCTTTGGGGACGTCTTGGAGGGCTCTTGGGCCGTCTTGGAGGCCATCTTGAGCGTCTTGGAGGCCTCTGCGGCCGTCTTGGGGGCCTCTTGGGGCCGTCTTGGGCCTCTTGGGCGACCTTTGGGGGCACTGGGGCCGTCTCGGGCCGTCGGAAGGCAGAAAAAATAGCAAATGCCACAATCCTTCAAAAACTCATGTGAAATCTATGATTTGGGCCCTTTCCGGCCTTCCTGGAGGCCCTCTTGGAGGCGTCTTGGGCCGTCTTGGGCCATCTTAGTGCCATCTTCGGCCGTCTTGGTGGGCTCCTGGCCCGTCCGACGCCGTCGGAAGCCGTTCGGGGGGCCTCTCTGAGCCGACTTGGGACCCTCTAGGAATGCTCCAGGGCCGTCTAGGAGGCTATCTTGGGCGTCTTAAAGGCCTCCTGGGCCGTCTTGGGGGCCTCTTGGGGCCGTCTTGGGGGCCTTTTGGGCCATTCTGGGGCCATTTTGGAGGCCTCTTGGGCGATCTTTGCGCCATCCTTGGGGGCTCTTCGGCCGTATCGGGCCGTCGGAAGGCCGAAACGAAGCACATGTCAAAATCCTTCAAAAATCAGTGCTTTTGGCCTTTTCAGGCCTTCCTGGAGGCCCTCTTGGAGGCCTCTTGGGCCGTCTTGGGCCAGCTGCGAGCCAACTTCGGCCATCTTGGTGGGCTCCTGGCCCGTCCGACGCCGTCGGAAGCCGTTTGGGGGGCCTTTCTGGGCCGACTTGGGGCCCTCTTGGGGTGCTCCAGGGCCGTCTTAGAGGCCATCTTGCGCGTCTTGGAGGCCTCTTGGGTCGTCTTTGTGCCCTCTTGGGGCCGTCTTGGGGGCCTCTTGGGCAGTCCTGAGGCCATCTGATCTTGGGGGCCTCTTGGGCCGTCTTGGGTCGTCGGCAAGCCGAGAAGAAGCGAATGCCCAAATCCTTCAAAAACCGAGGGGAAATCAATGATTTTGGCCTCTTCGGGCCCTCCTGGAGGACCTCTTGGAGGCCCCTTGGGTCGTCTTAGAGGCCTCTGGGGGGCCTCTTGGGCCGTCTTGGGCTATCTTGGACTCTTGGGCCGTCTGGGAGGCCGTCTTGGACGACCATCTTGGGCGGACTTGGAGGCCATCGTGGACCATCTTGGAGGCCATCTTGGGCCAACGTGGCCATCTTGGAGGCCATCTTGGGCCATCTTGAGCGACAAATTTGAAAAATTGTGCTCCTTTTCGGGTGGCCGGCGGGACGGGCCGAAGCCCGAGGGGGAGTTCTTTTGGAAAAGAACCAAAGCCAACACCGAAATAATCTAGCACGCTGGGCAAGCCAACAGGGGGCGGCGGATCGAATACGCCTACGGCGAATCACCGCCGCCCCCTGCCTTTGTGGAAGCGCCTATGCGGCCGAACGTTGAGGCCAGATCTGCCAAGCTATCGGACCATGTGTTCCCCGAATCGGTTTGGAACGCCTTCGGGGAACACGTGGGCATCTTGAAGGTCATCTTGGCCGCTTGGAGGCCATTTTGACCCTTTCGGCCCTTCTTGGAGGACGTCTTGGAGGGCTCTTGGGCCGTCTTGGAGGCCATCTTGAGCGTCTTGGAGGCCTCTGCGGCCGTCTTGGGGGCCTCTTGGGGCCGTCTGAGGCCTCTTGGGCGACCTTTGCGGGCACTGGGGCCGTCTCGGGCCGTCGGAAGGCAGAAAAAGAGCAAATGCCACAAGCCTTCAACAACTCGTGTGAAATCAATGATTTGGGCCTTTTCGGGCTTTCCTGGAGGCCCTCTTGGAGGCCTCTTGGGCCGTCTTGGGCCATCTTAGTGCCATTTTCGGCCGTCTTGGTGGGCCCCTGGCCCGTCCGACGCCGTCGGAAGCCGTTAGGGGGGCCTCTCTGAGCCGACTTGGGGCCCTCTAGGAATGCTCCAGGACCGTCTTGGAGGCCATCTTGGGCGTCTTAAAAGCCTCCTGGGCCGTCTTGGGGGCCTCTTGGGGCCGTCTTGGGGGCCTCTTGGGCCGTTCTGGGGCCATCGTGGAGGCCTCTTGGGCGATCCTTGGGCGATCTTTGGGGCCTCTTGGGCCATATCGGGCTGTTGGAAGGCCGAAGCGAAGCACACGTCCAAATCCTTCGAACACCCACGGAAAATCAGTGTTTTTGGCGTTTTCTGGCCTTCCTGGGGGCCCTCTTGAGGCCTCTTGGGCCGTCTTGGGCCAGCTGCGAGCCAACTTCGGCCATCTTGGTGGGCTCCTGGCCCGTCTGACGCCGTCGGAAGCCGTTTGGGGGGCCTCTCTGGGCCGACTTGGGGCCCTCTTTGGGTGCTCCAGGGCCGTCGTAGAGGCCATCTCGGGCGTGTTGGAGGCCTTTTGGGACGTCTTGGGGCCGTCTTGGGGGCCTCTTGGGCAGTCCTGAGGCCATCTTGGAGGCCTCTTGGG